TTGCGCAGGGGCCATGCTAATCTTCCTTAGCTGTATCGTTCCAATTTTAACAGATGTCCCGAAGGACTCCGTTTTCTTTGTGTACATGTGTTTTCCGCAGCCATCTCCTCATCCGTGAGTACCCTTCCGGTAGGGGAAGCCTCCGTCGAGTACGCTACGCACGCGTAAGCATGACGCCATTTCTTTGAGCGAGGCGTCGACCGAGATGCCCAACGGAATACATCTTCACAATGCTTCCCCTCGCTCACGGTGTTGCCGTTCCGGCTTCCCGCGCTTGTAGAGCGAACGGGATCCTCCTCTGTGTCCACGCCGTCTAACCTCGGCTATGATGGTGATCAAAGGGCTCAACCTCCGCCTGATACGTGGAGAAACTAGATTTAGCCCGGCGTACACGGTCAATTATTCCGTTCCCTCCCCAGCTCCTTTTTTTTTTTTTTAATTAAATAAAAGCTATATTCTTCTCTCAATTTCACCTCACAGGGTCGATTTGATGTCGTGCAGCGTAGGCCACCACTACAGTTGTCAACCGAGCACAAGGCACCCCCATCACGGCGAATGTATACAGTCTGCTTTAAATTTACCTGTTGGGTGCAGGCGATGACCGCACGCTCTGCTCGGCCGAGCGATGTTCCACAGCGTCTAACGCACTCCTTTTTTTCTTGTTTTTTTTTTTTTTTTTTTTTTTTTTTTTTTTTTTTTTTTTTTTTTTTTTTAACGCACTCTCGTCCGGCAACGTGGCACACCGATGACCGCTCAACTCAAAGCCGACAGCTCTGCGAACGCTCGGCAATCTCTGCAGTCTCAGTTGCACTGTGCTTCATTTTCTTGTTTTTTTTTTTTTTTTTTTTAACAGTGTGCTTCCTTTTCAATCTGTCGAAGAGTGACTGCAGTCTCAGTTGCAAGTGGAGAATGAAATCTCACGCAACATAATGGCCATGTGTAAAACATGAAAGCCAAACCATGGAATAGAAGAAGAAGAAGAAGAAGAAGACGAAGAAGAAGAAGAAGAAGAAGAAGAAGAAGAGGAGGAGGAAGGAAAGAAAAAGAAGAAGCGTAGTCCCCGGAGCGCGTCAGCTCGTTAGATTAATCAAAATAGCTGACCATGAAAACAAAAGGCGCGAACGCCATAACTTGAAGCACATACTTGCGAATACCCTACACGTGTTTCGGCCGGCCCGCCAGTGCACCGGCCTCGTCAGGGGTAGCGCTGGTGAGAGAATAGGAAAGAACTAAGCTATATAGCAAATTCTACCCTAGCTAGTAGTACCCAAAAAAAAGGGGGCTTAGTCCGAAATAGCACCACAGAAAATGCCGAAGTCCCGCCGAAAGGAAAACACCCAACTCAGAGGCCCAATTACCAAAACAGCAAGGGAAACACCCTACTCAGAGGCCCAATTAGTAAAACAGCGGACCCAATTGGTCCATGCCCCCCCATTATAATATTAAAATGCGATAATGCCTTGTCAAACATGATATCCGGGAACCCCCGCGGACGAAGTTCTACCTTGAAAAGTGGCTTCCGTGGTCGGCAAGGTGCCCATGCCATATGCCTTGTGAAGAAAAGATGAAATTACAGCAACTTTCTGCTTCTTACTGCAATAGGAGTGATAATTCTGTAAATTGTGAAAAACAAGCCCTCCTCCCTCCAAAATGCTATCCTGATTTTTATGCAATGCCTGGCAGTAGACTTTAATCGGATCGTTCCCCACCAGGATTCGACAACCTATATAAGGCCAATCCAGTCCTTCATTAGTAGTTTCTAATGATAGATGATTATCATAGCATGTCTCCTTGAATCTTGAAAGAATCCCCTGCGCCTTGCTTCTAGACACCTCGCTATCTGACCTGTACCTGATAAACACCGAAACATCATCAATCAATCTACAACCCCTAATCAAACGGGAGTCGTTCCCTAGTCCCGAGAGAAAGACATACTCATTATGGGCACACATTAAGCAAGCAAGAGCGGGGCTCGATGGCTTCCCCGTAGGTATTCCCAAGTTCTGTTTCATAACCGTACCCATAAGCATAGTGTAAGTGTTCTCTAGATCAAAGGCCACATACCGAAGGGAAAAGTTTACAGACCTATATCCTACTTCACTTACTGCGAGCTCACAGAACCTGACCAGTTTCTTGCGGCCATTGATTAAACACTTATAAAAGCCCTTCTCCTCAAAGAGACTGACTGCCCACTCTACCGCTGCCACAATCGCAGAGTGGGGAAGCTGGCAAAACATCTCCTTAACATCAAAACTTCCTACTAACAGCCCTTCCCCCTCCTGGATGCCTTTATTAACCAAATCAAGAACGTCCGACAGCATACACGTACTCCTCAAATTAAAGTGAGAGAAACGCGGCAGTCGTTTCAAAAACTCATTAACACGTGACGAAACAATCCTAGAAGCTTGCCGGGATGGTTCAGACCACGAGGGGCATATAGGCCTCCACTTATTAGTAGTCTTATGTTTAGGTATTACGTATGATCTTCCTAACTTGCCTTTCCCCACCCATGGTGCCAAACGAGCAAACTTACCCAACCTGTACCCTTCCTTACACTTCTTCAGAACGGCTTCTTCAGACTCACTAATAATTTGCAGACCCGGGTTATCTGTGAACAATTTTCGCATTCCTTCTGCGTAAAAAACAGGGCAGCACACGAATGTGTCCCCCACATTATGGTCCCAAGGACATAGAACGAGACCTTCAAATCTCTTCTTGTAATGCTCAACACAAGATTCAGTAACATATCCGTGCTTGGCATCGCCTGGAGAAAGACAACCACAAAGGGCCCGTGAAGAGACATCAATGTCCTTACCAAAGAACGTGGAGAGAGAGAAGAGATGACCTGCTTTCGCAACTGGTCCTAATTAGAAGAGTAATCAGGGGAGACAATATCCTTAGAATTACTTATAAAGTGAGGAATAAAATTTACCTGACTAAAACGGAATTTCACATGACCCTCCTGCCTAGGAAAACTGTCATCTGCTTGCTTGCAAGAACAGGTAAGATCCTGCTTCACAGAATATGCCTGAAAATTATGGATAGGTCAGCTATCGATCGGTTCTTAGTCAATACCAGCCTAAAACGGCGACAGACACTTTCGAGATATGATGTCGGGAAATCCAAATCAGAAATAATACATTTACACGCAGCGCGAATCCGGTCTTTCGCAAGGGAGTCATCAGACCTAACTCTAATCACCAAACGAGTAGACAAGCACAGGGAGATTTTCTACGACATACAGACGACAGGATTACTTTAAGAATAGCACGAGATCTCTTACAAGAAATAGTTCGGATGGCATCATACAGTCTTATGAGGCAGTCAAGATCGAGATTAATGAGATCCTTCCTGGAAGGGGGAGAACTGAGCAGACGGACCAAGGAGTTTTTGAGTGGTAGAGCTCGCGAACAGAAACGGGAGATGGAGTGAAAGTGGATGGTACGGCCCGCCTTGAACCAGGCCCGACATTGTTTAAGGAGAGAGATAGGGAGACCTGTGGTGGAGATGGTAGAGTATCCGAAGAGACGCTTGATCAGCTTCCATTTATCAGAGAAGGAAAACCCTGAGGAGATGGTGACAAAGAATGGAGTTTCAATCTTGCGGTCAAGCGCTCGTTGAAGAAGAGAGACAAGACTGGAGGAATTAAATCCAAAGGAGGAGGTGAAACAAAACGGGTCAAACCGATGCTGCTTACCTTGATCTAACGCTGCCAAACCCTGTACCTTCCTTCTTCTCAACCTCTCCTGTTTACCTGGACGCGAAGATCTGCAAGAGGATTTACATGATCGCCTAACTCTAACAGAAGAGTTAAGAGCAGGTGAGAAAGAATGAATAAACAATTTCTCCAACCCCAAAATATCTTGTTTCGATCCGACGTAAATGGGAATGGCGACATAAGAATTTAAACCTACCCTACGCAGCCATCTGTATAGTTTCCTGTTTCCACGCGATGATCCCGAAGGCTGGGCCGAAGCGATATGCTCTTTCCATCTAACTACTACAGATCTCTTAGTACTACCTATATAGACATGACAATACCAAGGTGAGAATAAAATATAAACGATCGGTCCGGGACAAGAAAAGAAATCGTAATTCCTGCGAACTAAAGAGTAAATAAGATCTCGAAACTTAATTCCCCAATCAAAATCCCCACGAAGAATTAAGCGCCCATCTTAGCCATCCGTTCCTTCAGCATTTGTGCTTCCTTAAGTGCCATTTCCTTCCCCGCCAGTGCCTCCTTGTAGGCCTTTTGAAGGGCTCCGAGATCCTTGGGCGTATACATGGCCGTCGTGGAGGGGTTGGCACGCTGCTTCCCTTTAACTGGTTCATCCGGAGGGCTGCTCTCAGTTATCGCTCCTGAACTCCTTTATCCTCGGAACACTAGGAACTCGTCACGCAGCTCGGAAACGTCTTTCTTCAGGTGCATGTTTTATGATTTTAGTGCAGATACCTCCGCACTCTTCTCTTCCAAAGCAGTGTGGAAAGCATTAAGCTCCTTTATCTGTAGCTGCAGTGCAAGAACCTCGTCATGTTTGCCATTACCATGCGCCTCCTGCCCGTTGCGGCTCCTAAGCTCCGCGATCTGCTTGCGCAGTCGTTCTTCCTCAGACACCAGATTCCTTGCCTTCAGCAAAGCTTCCTTCTCCTTTCTCAGCGCCTCCAACCTATTGTTATCTTCACATGAGCTACTTGAAGCCTCCGATGATCTGGCCCGCAAGTCCTCAAGTTCTTTCCGCAATTTTGCAACCTCACAATCCTCGTCTTCTGATATGTCCACTTTCCTTCCGAGTGCAGATTCACAAACTGCCTTCACGCTAGTCCACACAATCTTACCCAAAAGTGCCTCCTACTGTTCACGTTCCTTGTTCGCCTGCAGTCTTTTTTGCTCTTCTGCCTGCATCTTCTTCTTTTCTTCCTCATGCAATTCAAGTCTGGCAGCCTCCTTCTTGCGAAGCTCTCTTTCCTCAACTTGCTCGGATAGTAAACTATACATTCTGTCCAATTTGTCATCTCGTTCACGGTCCCGATCTCTATATCCACTTGTCCATGGCCTTGAGTATCAATGTCCATCGTTGTAGCTTCCACCATAATTAAAATTCCCACCACAATTATAACTCCCGCCATTACCATCATTACTCCTGTTCTGCGGTGCCTGGTAAGGGACAATAGCATTTGACGTGCTAGCTACCTGTGTCGGCGCCGACAGAATTCCATAAGAGCCGCCTCCATTTGACCCACCCGATCCGCCATCACGAATCCGTGCAGCCATCTCCGCCACATTAGGCTGATGTCTGAATGGACACTCCCGTATGAAATGGCCTGGAAGTTGACAGAAGTGACAGACGCTTCGATACGCCATGCTGAACACCTTGGGACTACCACGTCCCACTCGTTGCAGGTACCAACTAGCCAATTCAGCCGAACCGGAAGAGAAAACCGCGCTAGAAAGATAAGAGGAGAGAAGAAAGAAAAAAGAAACAGAAAATGAAAAAAGAAAAGAATGAAGAAAGAGTAGTAAAGGAGGGAAGTGGAGATGAAGATAACACATCTAAATGAAAAGAACTCATAAGATAAGCATAAGATGTGCCGTGATGGTTGGTCGTAGTCACTCGGTCGGAGTACCATCCTCTGCCAGTTTACTACGTGTATGTCGCAATGGAGAATGAAATCTCAAGCAACATAATGGCCATGTGTAAAACATGAAAGCCAAGCCATGGAATAGAAGATGAAGAAGAAGAAAAAGAAGAAGAAAAAGAAGAAGAAGAAGAAGAAGAAGAAGAAGAAGAAGAAGAAGAAGACGAAGAAGAAGAAGAAGAGGAGGAAGGAAAGGAAAAGAAGAAGCGTAGTCCCCCGAGCGCGTCAGCTCGTTAGATTAATCAAAATAGCTGACCATGAAAACAAAAGGTGCGAACGCCATAACTTGAAGCACCGACTGGCGAATTGTGATACGCAACCTCACGCCCCCTCGCGATGTCCCGTACGGGGTCGCCGATCAGAGTTCTAGGAGGGGCGTAGCGGAGGATTTTTTGCCGTACGGGTTGAGTCTCCCGGACGGAACGGGAGGCCCTCGTTTCGTGTCAGAGGTTTTCCCTGGAGTCGAACTGTCGTCGCGAAGTCCCGTGGGGGGTCGGATCACTCCGAAACGATAAAATCAGAAGGGTTTCCACGAAAATGAATTGTCGTCGTGCATCAAGACGGGAAAAGGCATCAAGGGGAGGGGGTCATGGTGGCGGACGACAGAAACTCCGGCCGTCATGAGTTCAGGGGATAGGTGGTGGGTTCGAAGCCTTCGGGCCTCGGCGTCGGACTCGCAAAGTCCGCGCGGAAGTTCCCGAGAGGGCGAAACGGCGGGAGGACTCGTCGGCATCCGAATTCGAAATTGCGTGGGCAGCGCCCCCGCACTACGGGAAAGCTCGGGGAAACGTGTCGCTCCCTCGTAGCCCAGGACCAGCCGTCGCCAAGAACACAAATCCCCCTTGCGACACCAGCGACAATCAAACTGCGGCCGCCACGCGGCGTGAGCGGCCGACCAGGGCAACACAGTCAAACCCGTATAAGGCAATATTAGAGTCAGGGAATCAAAACGCTCAATCAAGACAAAACCGTTCCCCCTTATATCACAAGCCCGAGGTGGGTCTCGCCAACACACTTGCTTCATTCGCCTCAGCGCGCGCCGTACGTCCGCATCGCAGTAGACGTAGTCGTCATCTGTGATGGGGAAGGTCGGTAGCGAGATGAGACGATCGGAGGTAGGCGATGAACACGGGCAAGATCTCGCACTCCTGGTCATCCGAACCAACATCGACTCCATACAACACTCGATGCAACCTTCTCTCTCAGGGTTAGTGCGTCAGAGGAAGATGGCAAAGCCAAAGCTCTCTTCCCCTTGCGGGGCGTCGACCACGCGCGCGGACGCTGGCGGTTGACGTCACCGGTACGGGGACGAGAAGCTCAAAAAGCGATGGCTATCAGTTCAAAAAGGAAGGCGGGAGAAAGAGGGAGAGAGAGTGTGAGTTTACATCGAGAATGCGTGGGCGCGCACGAAGGGCCGCGGAAGGGAGGGGAACAACGAGATTAACACACTCATACTCCTAAGCAGACGGTCCCCCAGTTTTGTTCCTCCGTCCCCGCCCGGATAAGTACATACACACATACATGCAGGCAATCGACAACCCTTGTCAGGACATCCAATCATCCATAGACCTTTGACATCACTCATGCGCGCAACAAGCTCCCATCACTCGGGGCCTCACACACACGTCATGCATAGACAAAGCAGCAGTGGAGACAAAAGCGAGTCCTTCTTGTACACAAAAATTCTCAATTAGCGGCCGCCCCCAGGCACCGCCTTTAAAACTTCCCAAAACCACAAGGCCCTGCCGCGGCCGGCGTCCAATCCAAACCACTGCTCAGTACCTCCGACTGCGTCGCCCCGAGACTACCGCCGGCCCACCCCGCGTCATCACTCCGACCGTCCTTGGGCTCGTTGAGCCTGTTTGGCGTCGCGGACTTCGTGCATAGCTCGCGCAGCATTGCAGCCGAGATCAAAGAGAGAGAGAGGAGAGGGTTGCGCGAATTTATAGCGCGGGAGGCGGCAGATTGTCACCGCGAGGTGCGGGCAGCGCAGGTTGTAAATGAGCAGGACAGGAGGGAGGTGGGGAGTTAGAGGGTTCGACCCGCGGGATGGCATGGTCCTGCGTGATTGGGGTGTCCGTTCAAGTGGTGCGCGGTTTCCCGCTCTCCACATTGATCCGAGCATCCCAAATATGCAGCCAATCACTTCGCGGAGTAAGGATCGAGTTGGGCGGAGGGGAAGACGAAGAGTCCTGCATGGGGAAAACGCGCGCAGCAACAAGGGAAGATGGCGCGGGGATGCAAAACAAGAAACGGGGGTGCGAGACGCGCGAAGAAGTCAGAGCTTAGGCGCGCGCACAAAAATTCAAAAAAAAGGTTCCAACCGAAACCGTTTCTTGCTTTTCATACCGTGGCCGCTATTCGCCCGCGCGGGAGTTATTAACCAAACAAAATGAAAAAGCCGTTTCAAAAAGAAAGCAAAATCAAAAAGAAAGAAAAACCCCTTTCTGTCCGTGTCCGTACTTCGGGGCTTCCGCGGGATTTTTCCTCAGGGATACGACAAGCCGCGCGGTACGGATCTGAGCTTATCACAGAATACCCTACACGTGTTTCGGCCGGTCACTGACCATGCAAGACAAGACACTTTGTGGCCTTCTTTTTTTTTTTTCMCTTTTTTTTTTTTTTTTGGGTGGCCTTTTTCGGTTCTCGGGCCACTGAAAGCGTTTGTCACATCGCGCACGACCAAAATTCCGGAAGCCCTGCCTATGCCGAAAGATGAGGTGTTGTTGTCGTATGACTCTCCTGTAGCCCACCTGTACAGCGCATAGGCGACGATCTGCTCCGGCGGAAGTGGCTCCCTGTAGAACGTCACCTGTCGTTGCAAGAGAGGTGCACAGGCCTCGCTGATCTCCATGAAAACTCTCCTCAACATGCGGAGCTTTTCCCGGAAGTGGTCGTCCGTCGCGTTATCGCAGAGCCGCAAATCCTCCCAAGTCCCGCCGGTTCTCCGCCTTATCCACCAACGTGGCATCGACCGAGGAAGCACACCGCACCCTATTGCAAAGCATAGCTGAAGCACTGCCTCAGAACTGGTAACGCAGTTCGGGGCGTCCAACACCCTCTGCAGCAGAAGTCTCTGCCGCCCCCTGGAAAGCGTCACTTTCATGCGCCCAGTCACCCTCTCTAGTTGGAATCGACGGACAACTGCGACACTAGCCGCCGCGACAACTGTCTTCTCTGCACTGGACAGCACAGCACGACCATCGCGATCGCAGCCCTCCATTCCGCTCTTCGGACAGGAAAAGCAACCTTCCTCGCCACCCACCTGCGCGCACCTCTCCCACCGCAATTGAAGGCGCCTGCAATCAGGTGAGCAATGCAGCCGTGCTTAACGATGTTCCACCCCGATTGGAGCGTCCGCCCACCGCCGCTGAAGTACGGAACCGCCACGCCCCTCTGCGTCACGAGCGCAACTGTCGGCAGCATACAAAGCGCGGTGCGGCATAGAACACCCTGGAGACGGTGGCGGTGCGGCGCCACTTAAGTGCGCAGTGCCATGGCAGCCGAAACCCTTCGCGACGTGCACTGCCCCCCCTCCTCGCCGACCCTCGTGTGCGCCGCCACACCGTCGCTCCGCAGGGCGCAAATTCGAATTTCGAAATTCGAACGAGGCCGTTCCCTCGTTGGCGATTTTCTTCTTCGCGCCCCGTGATGTTGTACCGCCGTCCGCCTGCTGGACCACCACGCCTCCAACGCTGACATCCCGAATCGAAGGCCGGACAACACCCTCGCGGCCGTGTATAATATCATGAAACTGGCCGCGGGAGGGCCCCGAGGATTCGTCCTCGGGGCGATTCTCCAAGGACAGGTGGAACGACACCTCAAAAAAACGTAAAAAATTCCGAGGATTCGTCCTCGAACTCCGAGGATGGCTCGAGGAGTGTCTAACGACGCCCTTTGTAGAGGTCGGTTTTTGAACCCCCGACTGGTACCTATCTACAGTCAGCAACTAATTTTTTTATTTTTTTTATTTTTATTTTTAAAGAAAATCATCTTTTATAAAACCGGGAAACGGGCCCGGCGTCCCTCACATGCATTCCGTAGCCAAACCAGGCTGGGAAAGGCACTTTCGGCCAGTCCCATCCCCAACCACGAACCTCCCATAGTGAAGACGCCTGTCTTCGGCCCATCCCGTACAAATCTCTAGTTGCTAACCCTAGTCTATGATAATACTAACGTAGAATTTAATCCTATTCCAGTATATCCATTAATTCTATATTACCAAAACAACCATACAAATTCCTGACCTATTCCTTGATACAATTACCGTACGGTAGTCATCCCTAACCCTAGGTTATCTACAAAGCAACAACCGTAATCATGACTAATTCCTAACACAAAATAAAATCCCAATTAAGGACCAATTAACAAAAACCTAAAAATCGTCAAGAAGTGTAAATCACCTCAAAAATTACACCCAATTTCGAGCAAAGCAATTTTCCAATAAACAGAATGTCCCACTCTCTCCGATATGGGACCCAGACTGCAGGTTCACACCTCTTTTTTTTTCTTTTTTTTTTCCTTGCCCTCATCGAACAGATATAATATAATACCGTTAGGCAGTACGCCTTCAGGACATACTGGCCATATGACTTTCCTGGATGGATATGTGCACTTTTCTTGTCCGGCCTGGATGTATCTGACTGCAATGACGGCCTGAAACGTAGTACAAAAGTCCCAGTATTCTTGTATCCACACTCTAACAAAAACAAACGAAGGGAGGCAACAAAAAGGAATAGATGGAACCACATGTACATTGAAAGTTTGTCTTCTAATATTATAAAAAATTAAAATTAAAATTAAAAAGAAAAAACAGTTCGTCTTCACTTCTGTTGCCTTTTTTTTTTTTTTTTTTTTTTTTTTTTTTATACCGAAATCGCACTTTTATTAACAGGGCCCAGTGCCCAAGGCAGCAATTACATAATGAAGATAGTCAAAAACAGGGACGACAGGTTGTCCTAACCCCACCAGGAGCGCGGAGCCTCATCCCTGCGTACACCGTATCCACACTCTTAACCGTAACGCGGCACCAGCCCTGCTACGACCACTGATCATCACACTCCTGACCCTAGCAGGCTAACACAACACCAACCCTACCATCAAATCCATCTCCATTCCTACATACTGTAAATAAAAATCACTAACTCAAATGACAAAAATCCTCGCAAGCACCAAGCATCCCACTAAACGGCAGCAACAGAGTAAAGTAGGGTTGCCCACCTATAAAAACAAAAGTCATTTAGTTCGAGCAAGGTATATCTAACCAGCTGAAATAACGATAATTCCTATTGAAAACAAGCCAAAACACACTTGTCCAAAGGATCAAAATATTTCCACGTCATTACCCCACCGCAAACGAAACGCCGGCGAGAGAACAAATTAGGGTTGCCCACCTATTTAATTCCAATGTGTTCGTATTTTAAGCCCAACATCCGTCACATCAAGCATCGAACTAAAAAAACAGCAGCAACAGAATGAAGTAGGTTGCCTACCTATAAAGACAAAGTCATTTTGTTCGAGCAAGGTATATCTAACCAAACGTCAGCGTTAACCTAGGAACAGACATGTCAATACCCTAAACACTCAGGAGCCATAAAAAGGACACACCACGGCACACATCGAAAGGGAAAATCCTACATACTAGACTAGACAACCAAACATATAAGCCAAAACAACAAATAGCAAAAGGGGAGGGGGAATTCCTACCCTACAAAATACATATTAACCCAAAATAGAAAATAATCTAAACGCTACACTCCAACCAAATCAACTAAATAGGCAATTTCGAAAATAGCACAAAAACTAGTCTACAATACACAACCGGGCAATTTCGGAAACAACACTACTAAAAATACACTTAACTCTAGTAGCCCTCAAACGATGTAAACATAGGATTCGTGAAAACCTAACAAAACAAATTGTTAGGTTTGCACGAAATCTATTCAAGATTATGATAGTACGTTTTTCAGGTCTCCTCCAGGAACAAAATTCTATGTGAAGTGAAACATCCATAAAAAAAAGAACAGAAAATTAATTTTTCAGAACTACTGGAGGGGACGAGGAAAAAAATGGGTTTTTTCATAGAAAATCACGACCTGGTGAAGCACCGTAGGTTCAAGAACTAAAATATCCTGATTTTTTGTTATCCAAAAAAATTGTGGTTATAGTCCTATAAGATGTGTAGCACGATGAATTTATTCGGGGGTTTTTCGAACGCGCAAACATATTCTCTTGTTCATGAATACGTTCGCTTGAACATGGTTTCCCATACATGGGTGAATATATTATTTTTTATTGTTTGTTTTAATTTTTTTCCCTATATTTTTATTTTAAACTCGTGTTTGACTAAGAATTTCAAGGTGTCTCCTAGGCAAAAGTTGTTTGTATTCTTATTTTAAATGACATATATTTTTTGATAAGGGTTTTATTGTTAAGTTCAAAAGTGATTTATAGTCCTATAAATTATTTTGTGCAGAGTTTGACTTTTACCTAACTGCGGAAACTGACTTATAGTCCTATAAATCAGTATTCACCAAAACACGTTTTTTTTTACATCTTTCAAGTTTGCCTTGTCATATTTAAAAATTACCCTGTTTGAACTCTGTTTTTCTGCCAATCTACTGAGAATGACTTATAGTCATATAAAAACATTTTGCAAGGAACGGTTTTCTTGCACATTTTGAGGAATACTAGACTTTTTACCTGATTTTTTGCCTCCTTTATCGCAAAACGATTAAAAACGCTCTCTTTTTGTGTAAAAACTAACAGTTCGACTTTTACTTTTTCATTCTATAAGAAATGTTAGGTTTTCTCAGATTGTGAGGTTTTCACGAATCCCCTGTTTTTATGCCAAAGTTCCCCTCTATAAGGTCTTCGATCTTCAAATATGAGCAAACTTTAAGATGTTTGCAACCAGAAGACCTCGAACAAAGCCTCACTAGCTCAATCCTCTTCATGCTCCTCCGACTCGCACAACAAATCAGCGCCTACAACGACGTCTTCAACAGCATCCCATAGGTCTGCGCTTAAAGCAGCGTCTTCAACAGCATCATAGCAAAGTCTTCATACATAAGATCAAACTCAGCACGCTGCTCAAGCTCCATACCCGGTGTAAAAGCATCATTCCTCGGATACGCCACACCCACACACCAACGCACTGTCAGCTTAGCACGCCAGTAGAACCACGCCTAACCCACGGCCAAGAGGGGTAGGGGCGGATGAGACCAGCCAAGCATGGCGACTCAACCGTGGCGGCACCCGCCGCCGGACAAAGCCCGCAACGTCACCACCTCGCCTCACCCAAGCAGCTTCGGAGTCTCGCGCTAGGCCACTCCACAACGCTCTCCTGCGGTGTTTGGTGGGATTTTTCTCGATAGCACCTAATCGCTCACTTCTGATGCCTTTGAACTTCTGCAGGTTTTTTTTTTTTTTTTTTTAACATTTAAGGCAAATATTTGCGTTATATTTCAACTTTTTTGCGTTGTACTTTTCTCGTCGCATTTCGTTTCTTTGTGCCTTCGAATGGAGGTCGTCAAAATACTTTTATAAAAATAAAAATAAAAATAAAAATTGTGCATCTCTGGTGAGAGCTCCTTCACGTGGAAGCATGCACGGTCGGGCAGGACATGTAGGGACCATACATCTATCTGCGGAAACTAAGGCCGCACCTTCTTTTTTTTTAAGTCGCACCTTTTCTTTTATTGTCCTTTTCTTTCTCTTGTCCTTTTCTTTTTCTTT